TATATATCCATCCCTCATCCCTAAGAACAAAAAAGACAATAAGAATAGATCTGAGACTATTCGCTTTTACTGAAAGCTAGTTCAAAGCCAATAATAACTAATAAAAACTGTTTCTAAAACTAAAATGTCCATTTCTTTCCAATTATTCCTTACCAAAATCTGTGAGATCATAAATAATACTTAATTTACATATTAGGCCAGGATACAGTAAATGAGTCGTATTACAGGTTTTTGTCACATTTTGCATATAGCTATAATATGTTTAACTTGAACAGAAAATCGAAGAATTAAAGAATGCGTTTTATTCTCTCAAATATTTTTTTCTCTCAAAATTGTGATCATTTGCATAGAAAGCATATCAAATCGACGAAAAACATTCCTTAATATGTTTTAGAAACATAAATTTTACAAATATTAGTGCAAAGATTTTCCTTAATAGATATGTTGTTGATTCATAAACTTTCGTTTGATTGATATCATTTCAATCTTGATGTATTAACAGACCTGTTTCCTTGTTTGGTAGTGAGAATCATCAAACATCGACGTTTACGTCTTTCAAAGCGATTATGTTACGATTATTTCGACATTTTTGGATTTTTTTAACCTATAACATCTTTTACTCATATGTACCGAAAACAAAGTCGGTGACCCAGTTATCATGTAACATCATTAAAACGGAAATTTATATATCAACAACATAACACTGTTTGAGAAAAAAAAAAATCCATTTGTTATTGCATCTTCGCTAGCAAAGGTTACGGCTCAATTCCCTCCCCAGCTACCTATGAAAATCATAAAATCGTGGATGCGAAATTCTATCTAAATCCGCCAAGGAGAGGAAGGGACTGGATCTTAATCCTGTGCAAGCGAATATGTTGTTATTGACCATTTTATGATACTAAAAAAAATTAAGAATGCTGTTCGCCAATTTAATGTTCTTTCTATACAAATGTACATCTAATTTGAAAGAAATTCTTTTCAGTAATATTTGATAAAACAGATGAGATTAATACATTATTTTTTCCCGATTTTTAGTTATAGTTCAACTTGCCAAAGTTGTAAATAAAATCTACATAGCCCATTAACTGTAACTTGACCTTACATAAAAAGAAAACACAATTGGTAGATGTTCACACCACACAGCATATTAAAAACAAATTCTAAAATATATATATATATATGATAGTCTTTTTGTCTTTGTTTTATTTTAAATACATGTGTGCTAAAAGACAAGCTTCATGCTGAGACTTCTTTCGATGCCCCTAAACCAGAAAATATTTAGCACATTTTGAAAATGAAACTTAATAACAGAACAATAACAACATAGAAAGTCTGTCTCGTTAACACGGTATGACCACCATGTTATTGCGTGGTAGTGAACTAGCCTCGAATTATAATGGTTTCAGGTTCGGTCTTCTACCAAACGCATTTAAAAAAGATAAATAAGCCCCTAAACACTAAACACTTAAGGTAGCATAACAAATGACACTCATATTTTTTAACCACCCTCTTTCCACTAGCTTTCTAAAAAAGAAAACTTAATTTTTGTTTTATGTATGGAAACAAAACCTTCCTTAGATTTATTTTCCAATAGTTGATATGGTGAAGTATAATCTCTTTTTGGTGTAACCATGGCAACAATCTGAATTGATACGAACTATTGCAAATAGAGTGGTGAAAATTTCACAAAAGTCACCAAAATTCGGTCCAAAGTAGAATTTCAATTCATTAGAGTGAAACCTTTTCTGAAACCATTGACACTTATTTATCAGGAGGTCAAATAAACAGCTTATGCATTTTACCTCATTTTTCCAAGAAACTGAATTGAAAAGTTCGAGCGTCAAATATTTGTTGGAAAACACTACAATAATGTATGGATGTATGGGCGATAGGGATGTGAAAATACGGACTGTCAAACAGAAAATGGCCTATAAAACAAGCAAACAATAATCTTGGTGTTCATATTAATCCACTTTGAAGGCAACACTATTCTTCAGCTATCTTCAAATCAATTTTATTTTATTGCACAATAACTTTCATGTTTGAAAAATTCACCGGATCCAAAATGCAAAACCAATCTCCTAACTATGTATTGCTACCTAAAGTCGACAAAAGAGAAACAACACCATTGCGAAAAAAAAACAAGAACAATTGAGCAACACGAACCATATAAAAAATGGAATTCAACAAGGATATACCGACCAGGAATCATTTATTTATCCTCCAACGTTTCAAATTATAATGCGATTAAGTTGTCGACATTATGCTCCCATAATATAGAATCTCTAGAGTACCTGATACATTTTTTTTGTTATATGTTTTCATCAGGTGGCAATATACTAAATAGTTCCAAGCAATTAAGGTCATGAATATTTGAATACTTCATTATCCTCTTGCATTTTCTTTTGTTTTGTCTTGCTTTTAAATAAACAGTAGTCCTTTTTCGTTCTAATGGTATTACTGAATACCCTGAAGTATTCATTTTGCTTATTGAAAAAAAGAAGAAAAGTATCTTTATAAACTAATAGAGACATATTAAAAAAGTTTACCCTTGTGCGTCTATAGTCACAACAGGATTCGCCCCGTTCCATGCCGTATCGCCAATTTTTAAAGACATTACACCTTTTACCAAACCGGTTTCTAAAATTATAAAACGCATTATGTTATCATTTGTATTCTATTTCTACTGTTTAAACTGCTATTTGCATGTGTTCCGTATACGATTAGATGGAGAACATTTACAACAGCAAGCAAATAAAGGGCTGTGTTTATAGTCATTACTAGAGAACAGATATTGCTATCTGCGAATCTCCTTTCCGGTCGAATTTAGAATATGTTACTATCCCTGAAGATCTTTTGTAGTTGTACATGTAACTTTGATAACAAAAGAGAATGGTGAGATATATAACACTAATGACACAACAGTTCAACATATGCAACCAACTTTAAAAAATAAATAAACGATTTAAAGTAATAGAGAGTATCTATATACAATGTGTAAAACGACCAAATTCGAGACATTTTGTTAATATATTTTACACAATAAATAAGGCATTATTGCAAGCCGATTACTATTTATTCCAACATCAATATATCTAATAAACTTTATAAGATATCTCATATAGTTTATAAGATATCTTATATAGTTTATAAGATATCTCTTATAATTTTCTTTGTAAGACATCTTATAAATTATATGAGATATCTTATTAACTAAATGAGATATCTTATAAACTATATGAGATATCTTATAAAATATATGAGATATCTTATGAAATATATAAGATATGTTATATACAAATTATTTATAAGATATCTTACGTACTTTATAAGTATATATACTTTTTAAGATATCTTATAAACTTTAGAAGATAGTTTATAAACTGTAAGATATGTAAAATAATTTTTTTTTATACGATATCTTATATACTATATATCAGATATATATCTATACTACTAAAGGAAGAGACCGGTTTCATTGAGCCTCAACTCCTCTGAAACCATACAAAGTCGGAAATATTTGGGATATGACGTATAAGTGTAGTGTTTTGTACTTCCTAAATTTGTCTTTGAAACAATCAATTTTCCACAGAAAACGCCAATTCTTAAGAAAATATCCAAATTCGGAGACCGTTATCGATCCGTGTCTTATACGCTTTCGCGCATGCTTAGTCGACGTACTGCCCGCGAAATTTAAAAACTCTTTGTTTCAACACTTGCACAATTGTACTGCGATTTCACGGGAATCTTCTAGTATATACAATTTATAAGATATCTTAAGATATCTTATAAGGTTTATAAGATATCTTATAAAAACTAGATTATATAAGATATCGAATATATTATATAATTATAAATACAACAACCAAGAGTGCCTGTCCTGGGTTCTTTAATTCAAAATGGCATTTTCTTTAATATAAAGTTTTTTTTTTTTAAAACGTGTATAGATGAGGTACATGATATTGTGAAAAACTTCTTACCTTCAAATTAATCTATGACCAGAAGCCTTCCTATGAAGTTCTTTTGCCGCTTGTGAATAAGAGCTAACATGTAGCAAATCTTACTTAGTCTACATTACGGCATACGACTGTCTTAATTAGTTCATTTTAATCCTTACATCAATAATGTCGTAAGTAAAAAAATAATTACTAAAGGTTTTAAATATGTATCGGTCGGAAAACAGTTCGTACAGGAGTTTTAGAAACAATAAGATATGTTTAGTAGTACTCGTTTTCAAAGTCTGCTAAAAAGGTCATGGCTATACCTTTTTTACATAAAGTTATCCATCCATTCATTTCGTTCATTATTTTGTTGGTTGTAGAACGTTTTAGGAAAATTTACAAAATTACATTACATATGAAAAATTGCAATAACAAGTCATTGAGTAAATAATTTAGTTGAAAGTTATATTTTTTTTCTATTTTAGAATATTCTCCATTCAAAAGAGTGATGCATATTTAACTTGTGATGCAATGCCACAAATGAATTAAATTTATAAGACATTTGAAAGATAAAAAGCAATATCAAAAACATCGACAAAATTGAGAAATATTTGTTCTTGTAATTACAACTCTCATTCAAAACGCCTTTTTGAGGTAATATTCTCAAGATTTATAATAAATTTTAATTTTATTATAAAAAAAAAAAAAAAAGAAAAATGGAAGACAAATATCTCTTCCGTTTTCTAATCGTTTATAATTTCATTTTTTGAATTGTTGTTTGCCCCAAAATTAAAGGCGCTTTAGAACTGGAATAATTTACTAAACAGTACATACAATATACGTACCCGTAGGCCTCAGTGGATGATCTTCACTCATTTTAATAAAAACGTACTTTCGTTTAGACGCTTATTAAGAATAATTTGTATAAGGAAAACATTTAGTAACTATATATTGGTATCAGAAAGAGACCGCCTACAAATTATCTTATTTCATTGGACCAATAAAAAATTTATGTCACAAAATTATCATCCAATGAAAAAATTAGACGCTTAAAATTCAAGTTAAGAATTTTAAATAACAACAGTATACTGTTTGTCGTTTGACGAGCACTTGAAATTTTGGAAACTAAAAACTATGGAATTTTTGTGGAAGAGTATTTAATATTGTTTTTCTTCAAGAACTCTTCAAGTGTTGATATGAACAGTGTTACCTATGTTTATTGATAATATGAACTTGTAGTATAAAAGAACAAGTGGAGATAATAATATCAATGTTTACAGATGTTAGCGGTAAGTTACTTTCTGTTCTTTCATGAGATATTCTATAAAATTAAACACGTTATGGTATAAGTCGTGGGTAAGCGAAAACGGTATCGCAGACTTCGAAGCAGAATAGTAAGGTTTTAATCAGAATGGTGGATATAGTTAGCAAAAAATAAAAAAGCACGTCTTTTGTGAAAAATACCAATATTTTTTAATACATATGTACAAGCGTTTGACTTCAAAATGACAAAATGATACAATCGCTGACTATTGTTAGTCCTTAAAATTTCACGAAAACAGACAACATGTATAATAGACGCTGATTATTTTCTTTTCAAGTTAGTTCATTGAAAAGAGCGATGGAAAAACAGTATTTTCTATGATACATATGAACATTTGTTTAGGGAAATAAGGAAAATATGTGTCATAATTATGTGCTAAACAATCTGATGAACGTTGAGTGTTCTTTCATAGAATGTTATAACAAAATTGCAAAATTTATTTCCTTCTATAATGGTTCAGATTTCCTTTTAGTTTAGCTTTACATTTGTACTTTAGTCCCTTATCAGTTTTTCAGATGTTTGACTACTTTCGCATTGCTCATCATTCAAGAGACATTAAATGTCAAAACGGCGCATCGATAAATAATAAACCAAAGGTTGAATTCAGAGAAAAAAACTGTTTGGCTGTATCGAAGAATGTTTGAAGAGTCATAACTTAGAATATGTCTTGAACATGGCAGTTTACTGGTGTGTTTGAAGCTAGATATTTCTAACATGTGAATTGATACTAACGTAATGAAACGAGTTTATGGTGCACGACACGTAATCTTGGAACTTTTCTAAACAAATTCTTTGGAAAACCAAATGACCCCCTCCCCCCCAAAAAAAAAAATGAAAACTTCAGAAGTATGACAATCAAATATGCCCAACTGAACAGTGTATTGATAATTACTATATATAATTCGTCTCCAATTGAGCCAAGCCTATTTAGATCTGCAAAAATGCATAAGCAATGTTTTGTTCTTCCCTTAGTCGGATTCGAACCCCTGCTTCTGTGACATCGTGACAGTACCGCCTGCACTGTGCCAATCGCCCTAGACCACTCAAACAACTATGCCATATAAAATATAGCTTTCGTTAGTCGACTAAACGAAACCATAGCTGATCTATTTTGAGGAGGGGATAAGGCGTCTACGCAATGCTAGGCGGTGTTGTCGAACAACGAGAAGTGAAAAGTACAGGTTCCAGCCCCGCTCTTGGACGAAGTAGAAATTCATATCTACTCTAACATTGTTAGGTTGATTTTCTAGGCACTTTATAAACATATATTTATTTATAAGATGATATTATCTAAACACATTTCTGAGTACACACATACAATAAACACATGTCTTGAATATAAACACTTTTAAATGTGTTTTAGAATTAAAAGTTTTTAGGACTTTAACACTAATGTCTAAGTTAAACATGATACTAAACGCTTTCTTTAATCTAAACATGTTACAAAATTAACCATGTTAAAAAATTGTGCAAACAATATACATGTATTTAGAATTGTGTTTCGGATTTAAACACGATTTATACAGTTTACGTGTAGTAAAGATTCGGAATGCATTTTTGGACGTATTCATATAGAAATTTAATAGATATTATGTCGATGCCACCAATTGGAACGAACGTTCGATTCGGTATATACAACATAACTTGATTTTATCCTTCACATATAAAAAAGTATAACAAAAAATACCAAACTACATGGCGAATTAAAAAAGGGAAGTCCTTAAAAACTAGCAAAAAAATATCGAAAGATGTCTCAAAAGTTCATTTTGACATTAAGCGGTGGGCTAAGACTGCTACCTCACATAACATGAAACGTACAGTTTCAATACAAACATATCGCATCTACAATTAAATAAATAACATTTAATTAATTATTCATTTACAAAAAAAAACAAAAAAAACGTAGCAGCATAAATTTTACAAGGACATACACGTTTTCTTTTATTTTGATATTGAGAATATTTCAAGACTTAATTTTCGTTTATTTTTAAATGATAAGTTAACAGTTTATACGTCCATTCAATCTTTTTACTCGTTTAACTGGTCCATTTGCCTGTTTTCCTTTAAAATTACATACATTATTAAAAAGTTTAACATAACTCTTACAAAATTCTTTAAGAACCCCCTGTTTGCATGCAAGGTATTCCAAAACTCAATCGCATTGCTATTTTTTAATGTGTTTATTTTCTTTTTGATTTCTTTTCTATATAAGTTCGTTCTGATTTGTTCATGTGTTCATGCTAGTATATTACATTTCACATGTTCGAGATGGTTTTACCAAAAAAGTAGATATCGGCGTGTCTGTGATAAGTTTGTGTAATACTAGTATATACTAAAATATATAAAAAAAAAACCTGCATGTTGGTAACATTTTTGTGAAGCGAATTAGTGAATTGAACGAATTTAAACCAGATTGCAAATATGTCATACATGTGTCGGAATCCGAACTACAAATGCTCAGACAATCGTTAAGATAACGTTTTCAGATTTTGACGATTTAAGGCTAAAATATTATATATTTTCAGACAAATGTGATAGTGTACGCCCTCTTCGCCCCCTCTCTCTGAATCTGCCACTGACCTGGCAATTACGACATAATTGATCATTTTACAACTCTTTACTAACTTCCTAAGATCTGTTCAACTATTTCTCTATGCAAAGTCCACGAAGTCTGCAACTGTTTTAAAATTGAGCTGATGTAAGAACCCTACTAAGACTACTAAACAGACCAAAAATTATCATTTATTTCGTATTTGAATGTTCTAAAATCAATCAAAGTCTTATACATGTACATGTAGTTGTTCACTTACATCAGGTTGATTTCTGTCTGACGCAGCTCATATTTTGTGTACAATATATATTTCAAATCAGTCTTTCAAAGTTAATAAGATAATCAATTTGGGATACTTTCTTAAAGTATTTAAAAAATATCCAAATAGTTGAAATCTGATCTGGATTAGTTTTGTGCTCAATGGATTTTTTTAGACTTTTGAAATGTTCATTCCTTCTAAGTAACTATTCTGGGATCAATTGAATGAGGTTTGAAATTGGTGAAATTGAGAATGGAAACGGAGAATGTGTCAAAGAGACAACAACCCGACCAAAGAGCATAAAATAGTCCAAGACCACCAATGGGTCGTCAACACATCGAGAACATGATTGGGAGTATCATACAATTTACAGATTAGGCAATAACATGAGACTCAGTATTCTGCTGTCTCAGGATGTGAGTCCTCGTGTAAAATGTATCTTGTAAAAATACCAATTGGTGGAAATCATTACCTTGCGATTCAAAAGTATACCTCTTTAGCAATACAAGGTTCGGTAAATTGTTAAATGATGCAACATTTGACAACCCTTTGACATGCAACACTCTAAAATAATATGATTTCCAGCATGCTATCTAAAATATCTGTTGATGTTATCCTGATTATTGTTCCCGTAAAGTTTGTCACCTTAAATAAATTATTTGACCGGGCATGTCTAAGTTAACATTGGGCAGAACAGTCGTTGTTTAACTGATTATGAATTCTCTCCAATTTTTAAGTGGAAGGATCTTATGATTGTGATTATTTTAGTTTTTTCGTCGCGCAATGTTAGATTTTTTATTTCATAACTTTGGGGCATATAACAAAATGTATTCATTGACATTATACATGTAGATCTAACTTGCGAATTTCAACGTTCATCCGAAAACCACTGATTTGCAAAAATAAGGAGACGAATTATGATTGTCAATGAGACAACTGTCTATAAGAGTCAAAAGGACAAACAACTGCATTACATTGTGTGGACTTATGAAGTCGACATTCTAGTGTATGTTGCTTGTAATTTCCTTTAAAAAATTCAAATAGTGACTTCTTAACCCTTAAACGCAAATTGTATTTTAAGTTAAACTTTTTATTAGACATGTTACGAAATGGTAAATACTCGACGCTGAGGTTGACAAATAAGACTTTAAATGCGGGTATCGTATCAAAACACAAAATCTATCTAGAGATTTAAATTACCGGTGAATCAATTGAATCTTGTATTTAAACTGTCCCACGAATATTTGTTCCCTATAACAAATGTCCCTTTAAGAACTTGATCATAGGCAATTTCATTATAAATATTCCTAATGTAACAAATATTCAATAATAATTATTCCGTGAAAAAAAAAAATGATAAATCCAATAAAGTTTCTTCCTTTTTATATTTTGGAACACTGACAAGAGACGAGGGTATAGCAGATAGGATATAAATTCCAGAAGGAAAGACAAGAAAAAAGAGTAATGGATCAGAGAAAAAATCCTTCGCAAACCCTTATAAATTTAAGCAACTTGCTTATAATTTTTGTGTTTTCGAAATCAATAGTGACGGACATTTAATTAAAGGTGTGTTTACCCGTGGCCATAACTTTTGGACGGGTTGTACACAATGCAGAACCGAATTATCATATGATATTATGAAATCCAGCGGGCGGTTGGGTAGACGTGCAGGCGATCCGGGGAAGAGGGTACCCGTTTTGAGAAATAAACTCCTAACCTAGGCGCTTTTTAATTTTGCACAATGTATGTTTATGGATTCATTTTGGAAATTTTGCTGTTTGTTTTTTTTTTCGGAGGTTGAAACTTCGTGATTTTTTGGCAATTGTACATATGATCAACATGACACCTCTATGACCTCACTAGCCCTTATTTGACGTTGGGTATGATTTTATGTATAATAATCTGTTAATACGTACTCAGGAAAAGATAAATTTCCCTTTTCATGTAAAATGTGACTGTTTCGACCCAACGAAGAGGATCTTTGGAAAAATACATGACAGCAATTTTCGGGCATTGCATATCTACGCAGGTTTTTGTGGAAATTAGGAATCATATAAGGTTCACACGCAGTATTTTCCTAGGACCACAGGTTGATGCTCAACAGTTTATTTTACTGCTTGCAATCGGCCAGGTTTGAAATTAGATTTCCCAGAAT